ATCTGGCCGAATCTATCTCTAGCATCTCCTCCCTTCACTCATGCAACGTCGACCCAAAGGACCAAGGGCCAAAGGGCCACTGCCTTGGTGGCTACTCCACGCTTTAAAACTCCAGCGAACGATGACCTTGTACACGGTGAAGAGACCTCAAAAGGTTAAAGTAAAAACGAAAGTCCCCCCTCTTATTTTTTTACTTCAAAAATTGAAAGCTTGCTGCTAGGAAAATGAAAGATGAAGGTTAGAATACCTTCTTGAGAAAATCCTTGTCTTTGTATTGATTTTTTGTTTGAAAGAAAGAAATAGAAAATACTCTATTACAAATGATTTTCGAGGTAAAAGGAAAATGGAAAAAATCCTCTACCCTCTTGTGTGTTTCGTATGAAATTTCTGAGTCAAAATCGTCCCTCGAATGTATTTTTTACATTTATTTATAGGAAGACTGTTGAAAACATTTTGATGTTTCGATATAACAAATTAAATTAAAAGAATTTTAATTTTGAAAATAATTTTTCTAAGCATATTCGATATATTAAATCGAATATCAAAATATTACTCAAAGTATTTCAAAGTTCATTTTAAATCTTTACTCAAGTGTAAAATTAAATTTTAATCTTAAAATAATTTCAAAACGATTTTACAAAATATTTCGAACCATTTCAAAGCCAAAAATTCCAGATTGCTCAGAGGGAACCGATTCCTCCCCCAAGGGGGTACCGATACCCCCTGAATGGTTTGGCTCCGAGAATTCCAGTATGCTCGGAGGGAACCGATTCCCCCCACTATTCAACGGTCGAAATATTTGAATTTTACACCTAGGGAACTGATTCCCCATTAGGGGTACCGATTCCCCCCACACTCCAAGCAGGAATATTAATTGTTTTCACACTTAAACGGCTCCAAAAACTTCATTAATGATCCCCAACATTCAGAAGTGATTCAAGGTGTATTTAAGCAAGCTTAGAAGCCATTGATCAACAACAAGAAACATCAAGCAACTAGAATCAAGAGAGAATCAAAGAGAAAGCATTAAACCTCAAGTTTGAGCATTTCAAGCCTATTTTTTATTCAATATTCATTTTGCTATTTTTCATTCAATATTCATTTTGCTTTCAAGAACACTTATTGTGCTCAATTGTATTCATTCTTGAGTGTTCTTTTCTTTGTTCTAGAATTGTGCAATCAATCTACCTTGTGAGGATTTCCTTGTAAGTTTGCAAATTTGTATTGTTCTCTTTGGGAGAGAGTGTTCTCAAGAATCTGGGGTATAATTCTTGAGGGTTTGTAAGGTTACACTTTGTCCTCAAAAGAAAGACAAATTAGTGAATTTGTGGAAAATCCTTAGTGTGGACAGCTAAGGTAGTGGACGTAGACTTTGGTTGAGAAAGTCGAACCACTCTAAATCGATGTACAATTTTGTTTCAATTTTCTGCAAAAGCTTCCATCAAAATTTTAATTGCCAATTCACCCCCTCTTGGCCATATTCGTCAATCGATTAACTCAACAACTGGCATCAGAGCCTAACTCATTTGAAGGTTTAATCGCCTCTTGAGTCGATTCGGGAAGAGTTACATCGATAATCAAAGTCATCAATGGCCTCTACTTCAAACTTCAACTCCAGTCTCTATTCGATTCCTATCAACAAGCCTCCTTTCTTCAATGGGGCTAACTATGCCTATTGGAAAAATAGGATGAGGTACTTCATTCAAGCAAGTGACATGGGAGCATGAAATGTCGTAGAAGAATGATACATCAAGCCTCTCACTCATCCAAGATTGTGGAGTGAAGGAGAGACAAAAATGTTCCAGCTCAACTCTAAAGCCATCCATATCATATTTTGTGCTCTTGGACCAGATGAATACGAAAGAGTTTCATCTTGTACAACGACAAAAGAAATATGGGATAAACTTCAAGTCACTCATGCAGGTACCGATGAGGTAAAGAAATCTAAAATTAGTATTCTAACGCATAGCTATGAAAATTTCAAGATGAAACCAAATGAAGATATCAAAGCTATGACGGATAGATTTTCAACGATTGTCATTGGTCTCAAATCATATAGAGAGATCATTTCAAATGAAAAGCTTGTGAGGAAGTTAGTCTACTCCCTTCCAAAATCGTGGCAATCAAAGAAAACAGCAATCATCGAGTCTAAGGACCTAACGTCCTTAACTCTTGAAGAGCTAATCGGTTCACTTCTCACTCATGAAATGATGCTTGAAGATGAGGTAGACCTTGATAAGATTGAAGAGACACCAAAGGAGAAGGAGAAGAAGAAAAACATTGGAGTTGCTTTCAAATCCACAAAAGATGAGAGTGATTCGGATGAAGATGACGATGATGAGGAAATGACATTGTTAGCCAAACGGTTTAGAAAAATGATGAGACCTTACCGAGGGAGAAAATTCAAACGAAATAAAGGCCTAAAAATGAACCAAAAGAGAAGGACCTGATCATTTGCTATGAATGCAAAAAGCCGGGGCATGTCAAATATAATTGCCCACAATTGAAGAGAAAGGGTCAATCAAAGAATAAGCACAAGGCTCATGTGGCTACATGGAGCGATGAAGAAGGTTCCGATGAAGAAGAACAAGAAGTAGCAAACTTGTGCTTGATGACATTCGGGGAAGATTCTAAGGTAACATCTAACTCATCTGATTTTGATGATATATCCTATGATGAGCTATTAGAGGAATATAATGAGTTGGCTTCGGATTATGAGAAATTGTTTTTAAAATATAAAAATGTTGTTTCAAAATTGAAAAATGAAAATAAACTCATATCCAAAACCAACAACGATCTTGAAAGTAAAATCAAAGATTTGCAAATCAAACTAGAAGAGTTTGAAAAGAAAAATTTGGATTTGCAAAATTTACTTTCAAAGGTCAATGATGATCATCAAAAGAAAATTGATGATCTTAAAACTTCTTTTGATAAAATTGGAACAAAACGTTTTGAAAATGGAGAAAATTCAAAATCCAACTTTGTTAGAAAAAGTTTAAAAACTACAATCATAGAGGTCTCCAAAGAGCCTCTAATGGAAAAATCATTAGAAGTATATGGGTTCCTAAAGAGCTCATTACTACTAAAAATAAGGATATCCTACACAAATGGATACCTAAGGGGACTAGGATTTTGGAAACTAATGGATATGGACCCAAAAGAATTTGGGTACCAAAAATTATAAATTAATCTATGTTTGTAGGAAAAGGAGCATTGCTACAAGGCACGAGAAACAAATTCAAATTCATGGTACCTTGATAGTGGATGCTCAAGACACATGACCGGAGACAAAAGCCGGTTCATTGAGCTTAACGCCAAAAATAGAGGAGAATTGACTTTTGGTGATGATTCAAAAGGTCACATTGAAGGTATTGGTACTGTTGGTAATATCTCTTCCATACAAATTAAGAATGTTTTATATGTGAATGGATTAAAGCATAATCTCTTGAGTATTAGTCAATTATGTGATAAGGGATTCAATGTCATACTTGAAACTAATGGTTGTAAAGTCATTGACATTGCATCGAATAGGATTATGCTTGTTGGTCATAGAATAGGAAACATATACATGGTGCATTTAGACTCTATAGAAATGACTAATTTATGCCTAGTTGCAAAGGATGAGCATGATAGTTGGTTATGACATAGGAGACTAGGACATGCTAGCATGAGTGTTTTGCAATGGTTAGTTCAAGGAGAATTGGTTCGAGGGCTGCCTAAACTAAAATTTGATAATGATAAAATATGTGATGCTTGTGCTAAAGGAAAACAAAAGCGAGTTTCTTTTAAATCCATTAATGACGTATCAACTAGTAGAGTATTACAATTGACCCATATAGATTTTTTTGGGCCAACTAGGACTACTAGCTTGGGTGGAAAACAATATGCATTTGTCTTGGTAGATGACTATTCTAGATATACTTGGGTTCTATTTTTAAGCACTAAAGATGAAGCATTAGAACATTTCATCACATTTTCAAAAATAATCCAAAATGAAAAAGATTACTCTATAACTAGTGTTAGGAGTGATCATGACACTGAATTTGAAAATCTTAGATTTATTGAGTTTTGTAATTCTAATGGTATTAACCATATTTTTCAGCACTTAGAACCCCTGAACAAAATGGAGTTGTTGAGAGGAAAAATTGAACTTTAGAAGAAATGGCTAGAACCATGCTTTGTGAAAATAATTTACCAAAATATTTTTGGACGGAAGCCACAAATACCGCTTGTTATGTTGTAAATCGAGTAATGATTAGGCCAATTTTAAAGAAAACTCCATATGAAATTTTCAAAAATAAAAACAAAATAAAAATATAACACTATAATATTAAAATAACTTATAAAATTTCATTTTTATAAATTATTTTACAACAAAACACAGAAGAATTTCACTTTGATCGTAATATGAACTACGTTGAATAAATTATTTCACTTTGATCGTAGTATAGAACATTATAATGTAACAAATATGTAACATATTGTTATTACATTAATTTATATTTTATTATTGTTATGTAGATATATTTTTCTAATAATTCTTCTACAAATTTAGAAGGTGACGGGATTTTCAGAACTTAATTTTTAATGTTAATGTACAACAATTTTATTAGTTGTAATTTCTAAAAATAATTACTTAATAATATACCTAAAATTGAGTTAAAACAAACATTTATTTCAAAATTAACATAAACATAGTTTATATAATTAAAAAAAGTCGATTATGCAAACCAATTCAAACTTTTAAAATTCAATTAAAAAAATCAGGATACTGATTATGAAGAATATTTTAAAAAATCAAATCCTTTTGGAGAGAAAGAGTGAGAGAGATAAAACGAAGCACAAGTGGCGGGATTCCTGCATGCAAAACGATATTTAGCGGCGATCCGAGAGCCTCGCTGTCTCTCTCTTTTTTATCTTTCTTTTCACGGGAAAGCAAAGCCAAACAAACATCAAATAAACCCTTTTGATCCCATCATCAATGCCTCCTTCTCTTAGTGTACCTTTTTCGCCTTCTCTCTGTTGACACCTTTCCTTGCTTTTCACTTCTCTTTATCTCATGTGAATACATTTCACTGTAATCATTATTTCTTCCCTTCAACTTTTCCGTATCATGGATTTTAATTTAAACCCATTACCAATCTTTTCCTGGGTTTTCTTTTTCCTTTATATGCCTTTCAATGTTTATTATAAAAACGACTCAGCTTTCTTTTTGTTTCTTTTTTGTGCAGATGGATTTTATGTTTGAATTTAGGATGTGGGTTTGAAAAGATTTCAGGTTCGTTACTTTATTGATTTGCTTTTCTTTTCCTTTTCTTTTTATTGGATGTTTAATTTGGTATAAAAATGAACGTAAATAAAATATTTATATGTGGGATATTTAGCATTAAGATGGTTTTGTTATATTATTAAGATTGGATATCTTTCGGGTTCTTTTTCTAGACTTAGGCCACCTTTGCTTGCTATTTAAGAGAACGAAGCTTGCTTGTATATGATTCAATTAGTCCCATTGATTGATTTTTCAACATACATGTTAGCAGTTAGCTTCTAATAAACTGCAAATCTTTTTTTTTATTATTGTTATGGCTTTGCGTCAAACTTTATGTGCTTTTAAGATTGGCTATCGAGTTTTGCTTTTTAAAGCTGGGAGAAGATTGAAAGCTGTGTTTTTGTGACAGTGAAGGAGAAGGAACGGTCTAAATTATAATGGAGAAGAAGAAGTATCCAATTGGGCCGGAGTATTATATACTGCATGAGGAGGTGGGGCACGGTGTTAGTGCTTCCGTGCGCCGAGCTCACTGTATACCTTTTGATGAAGTTGTTGCAATAAAAATTCTTGATTTTGAACGTGATAACTGTGATCTGGTAATCCCTTGATTCCAATACCGCTATTGATTGTCTTTTAAGTTTACCGTCATTATTATTATTTTGTGTGTGTGTTGAGACCGGGGGAATATTGGTTCTTCATTTACTGAGTTTTGAATTTGATCATTTGCGATTGGATTCAGGTTAGTTAGATATCGTGTAAGAATGGATCAGTATTAAAAAAAAATCTGTTGTTTCTTTTGTACTGCACAAGGATGAACTACTTTGAGAATTTTCTCTATTAGCAATTTGATGAGATTTCGCTTTTTAGAAAAAGCATCTTTGATATTTGAATGAGTCTCTTTTCTGCAACACCAAGATTTAACCCTTTGAAAAAGTTTATCCCTTCTGTTTCGTCATAGTTGATACAGTACAGGACAATTGATTAATGAACATTCTGCAACAATATTCAATCAATCTTGATTTTGCCTACTTGACCTTGGCTCAGCATTTTCTTCTTTAATAGGTAGATATTGATTGTTAATATCTGCTGATTTAGATTGTCAAGGAACACAAATTCATGTTTGTGTAGCAGAGGCACTTCTCTCTCTATAGAGATGGTGTAAATGCAGGTGCATTTGGTCAACTCAAATTTAATCAATCATTTGAATTTTCCTAGGGTTAGTCAAAGTTATAGATCAATCATGCTCATAGAATCAGTTGTGGAGAAAAGTTCTTTTCACCGAAAACATAGCTAGTATACTTTGAGTTTGGCTGAGTGCCCTCGCATCAGATATGATTGTTCCAAACTTGTTAAATCTAATTCTGCCTCGTGTTTTCCCTAGCATTAGCTAATAAAATTTCTAGTTGTTTTGATATTATTTCCGTATTGTGCTTGTGTAGAATAATATTTTTCGTGAGGCACAAACAATGGTCTTGGTTGACCATGCAAATGTTCTTAAATCACATTGCTCCTTTGTTAGCGAACATAATCTATGGGTTGTCATGCCATACATGTCTGGTGGATCTTGTCTTCATATACTAAAGGCTGCATATCCTGATGGTTTTGAGGAGGTAGTTATAGCAACGGTACTTCGTGAAGTGTTGAAAGGTTTAGAGTATCTTCATCATCATGGGCACATACATCGGGATGTTAAAGTAAGTATATTGTCTTCATGATTTAGGGCTGTTTTGCGTCCTTTTAACTTTTAGTGATTATTATAGTTTGTATTTGTCATATGATTTGAACTATACACATGTAAAAATCGGGTTTTAAAAATGAGCTCTTAACGGTTCAGTTTATTTTTCTCTAATTTTCTATAATTGAGCAATTTTATTTGCAAGCTAAGAGACATACATGCTGAAACTCAGTTAGTAAAGATAGTATATCTGCTATGACAAAGGTTCTGATTTCTGCAATATATATTTGAGTTGGTTATTTTGTATTGTTACAACAAGTGGATGATCTTGATTTCTTTGATGTTAACTTCATTAATTCTGATAAAAGCTTCAATAGTTGTTTCCTATGTAAAAATATAGTACTTAAGTCCTTAGTTCCTGAATGATCTTTTTCTATAGGCTGGGAATATTCTCATTGACTCCAAAGGTGGAATCAAGTTGGGGGACTTTGGTGTTTCGGCTTGCATTTTTGATTCAGGTGATAGGCAACGCATGAGAAATACATTTGTAGGGACACCTTGCTGGTATGTTAACATTATTATGTCTAAATTTCATTCAGTTCCTAGTTCTTAGATAAGATTCCTGAGTGCCAAATTTCATTGAGTTCCTAGTTATAGAGCATCTCATTTTTGAAGAGATGTCTCACTGGACTCCAGGGAAGTATTATCTTCCTGTTTGAGTGGCAAAGTTTTAATGCTTCTTATAATCTATAGTCTAATTCCGTCTCCATTATTTTCAGGATGGCACCTGAGGTTATGGAACAGCTGCACGGTTATGATTTCAAGTAAATCTATTGTTTTCTCAAAGGTACATTTATGCTCCTTAAGTAGCATTAAGTTGATGTTTATTTGGCAAAATCCATGTAGGGCGGATGTCTGGTCGTTTGGTATAACTGCACTAGAGCTTGCTCATGGCCATGCTCCTTTTTCAAAATATCCTCCAATGAAGGTGGATAGCTTCTGTGCCCCCCCTTTGACATAAACCTGATCTTTTACCAGAGAACAAAGGTTATTCTGATTTATATCATATTTGTTGTTCTTAGGTATTGCTTATGACTTTGCAAAATGCACCTCCTGGCCTGGATTATGAAAGAGATAAGAAGTTTTCTAAGGTATGCTTTAATTAATCCATAACTTTCAGTAGTCGGATTTAATTAGATATTGCGTTCATGTTGTGTTTCTCTTTCTCTTCAGTCTTTCAAGCAAATGATTGCTAGTTGCTTGGTGAAAGATCCTTCAAAAAGACCTTCAGCAAAGAAGTTATTAAAACATCCTTTTTTTAAGCAAGCAAGGTCAAATGACTATATAGCGCGAACACTTCTCGATGGTTTGCCTGCTCTTGGTGACCGTATCCAGGCATTGAAGGTTAGCATGCTACTTTCAGGCATATGATTCTTAGTTTGTTATAATTAAGCCTTCCACTATGTTATACTTACGAATGCTATCATGTTGAAACATAGAGAAAAGAAGAAGATATGCTTGCACAAAAGAAAATGCCAGATGGTGAAAAGGAAGAATTATCACAGGTTAGGACATTAAACTTTACTTGAAATAAGTGGTCTTGATGATGTTCTCATGTTAAGTCATGATTATTGAATTAAATGATTAAGTGAACTCAATACTAGAGTATGAGTTTTGGAGTGCAATTTCATACGACTTCAACTGGTAATGATGAAGTGTATTTTTAATTTGTCGATTTATTTTGCCTATTTGTATTTTTACTCTACTCAGTCATGGATGCATGTTCTACTTCTTTTCTTGCTCATGCATGTAATATCTTGTGCAACTATGTCTACTGTTAGGATTTCATGATCTAATGTTCATGATTTTTATATCCTTTTGTAATAATGAGCAGAGTGAATATAAACGTGGGATAAGTGAATGGAATTTCAATCTTGAAGATGTGAAAGCTCAGGCTTCCCTGGTACAGTAATGGTCGCTTTCCTTCCATCCTTTCCATGAAACTTTACTGGTTATTTTAAAATGCTTTAGAACTTGTCTTATGCTTATTTTTCCTTTTTTCTCACACTTTCTCAGATTCAGGATGAAGACATTATATCTGAAACTACCCAGGGAGGGAGTTCCAGTTCTTTGTGCATGCTTGATGGACAAGAGAAGCAATCAGAATTTCACCCTTCTCTGGCCACACATAAGGTATTTCAATATTATTAGTTTTTTTCCTTGTTTGCCTTGCAGTTGGTCATTTCTTCTTTTCTACAAGATCTTCTTTTCTGGGGTGTGGTTCATGATGATCTAGCTTCCACAGGAAGATAATTATCTGGGCCAGAATCAACCAGTTCCTTGTGCAGCAGTTGAACCAACAACAAATATTGCCAAGTATGTAATTTAGATATCTGACACTATGCTATATTACATTTTGTTATCGTTTTCTTCCAAATATAGGAAGTTATAAGAACATAGCACACTCATACCTGTGTTGAAAAAAATGCAATAGTATTCTTTCCCACAAGTGTCAGATCAGGTCTCATAATTTGAAAAGGCTTCATTTACTGGAAGTATATGGTTATGTCTGTGTTTGATCATCCAGAGCTAGGTCTGAAAGATCGGATGATGACTCAAGCTTTGCTAGTCCCTCAAATGAACTGAATATGATTTCACCTTGTCATGATGATCATGTTGAAAGCCATCTAGCAGAAAAGGCTGTTCTGGAGCTCAATGGAAAATTTTCTGATAATATGATCAAACCTTGTTATCAAAGGGAAGCAGCTTTAGGGAGCAGCACAACACCAGAAACCCTTGTTCTTCCAATTAAAGGAGAAAGGTTTGGTACTTCAATGACATAATTCTTTCAGTTCTCTTGGTTGTAACGCTTCTATGTTGCACCAATAGTGGGGAAGCTTAATTTGCTTGTGTACCATTTTGTAATGTTCCTCTACCAAGAAATTGTTCTGCAAGCCCCATACGGTGCCTGTTGTTGCTATGAGTTAAAGCATGATATCCTGCTATTATCTCAACGGTGAAATTCTTATTGCAAATCACATCTTATGATTGCCATGGACTCAACAGATGCTTTATTTCCAATTTGATAGAATAAGAGCCAAATCTATGATCTATATTCAGCAATATGATTTGAGTTGTGTGAATCAGAGAGCCGACAAGTTTCAATCTGTAGATATAAGGGAAACATGTCTAATATCATCCCATCCAATCCATTTTCACATATTAAACTGTAATTTATATAGTATTATTGTCATTGTTTTATACACATCATACTATATTTCTGTAGCACTCATTTTATGAAGTTTTCAGTGATAAGCAAAACCAGTCCCATAATATTTCTGGTCTCAATGGAGTGGTAGTAGAAGAGGATACTATTTCAGAGCTTCCTTCTAGGGCATCTACTAAATCATCAGGCAAGTGTTAATTGTTCACTCTCCAGGTTTTGTGTTTTGGTTGGTTGGTTTGTTTATTTTACTCTCCTTCCATTTCAAGTGCGTTTACTACCCAAGTAACAAAAGTGTAATTGCAGCAGTGAACAGTGATGACATTGAAGAGAAAGTAAAGCCACCTGTTGTTCAGCAAAGGGGCCGTTTTAAGGTTACATCTGAGAACCTTCAATTGGAGAAGGTGATTTAGATCTTTCTGGTCTGGCAGTTGCTTCTTTTGTTCATAAAGGATATGATTTAACCTTCTCTTTTCAGGTTGCGGCATCTCCTGTGCTACAAAAGAGTCACAGCATGCAGGTTGGTAGTTCGGAGGTCGGCACATAAGTGCAAAATTGCCTATTACACCCAACTGTAAAACTAGCAACTCATTTTGTAGTTCTTTGGTAAATGCACGATTAGGAATTTGACACCATAGTTCTCAACAGCTTGGTTTAGTTATCTCCTTACAAACTTTTGTCGCTGTTAGGAGCGATACAAAAACAATGAAGGAAAAGAATTTTATTTGAATCCTAAACACTCAAAGACTGTCCGTATGGAGTGGACAAATCTCCAATACAATAACCCAAATGACTTGATGCTTAAATGAAACTGGTAAAACAGCTTATTTGTATTAGTAATCTTCTGATAGGATTTCTTAACGTTTTGGTTTAGCTACGTCATGCTAGGCAAGTATTGGATCCTTAGAAGTTAAATATTATGTTGCTATCAAGAACTTCAGTAGTATTTTCTGCTCACCAAAGTAATATCTAAGCCAAAACTGTTCATCTTAGAAAAGAAAAGAAAAACAAGAGTAGGACATGATCTTGGAAGCATAAGTACCATTTCAGTTATCCTGAGTAGACATTGAATGCCTCATAAGCCTGGAAAAAGAACATATCTATAATCTTATTTATTTGCTTTTAACATTTATAACGTCAAAGTTATGGGTTATGCAGTACATGGGCCCACATCCTTCCCTTTCAGCAGCAGCACTATCAGTAGTAATGCCGTCCGATGCTGCATCGTCATCATCAGCTCCTGCTACTGCATCATCAACCCCTCCGGCCACATCATCAGCTCCAGCTAATCATCTTTTTCCATTGTTGCAGTCCGTTTTGCATACAAACATTCTTCAAAGGGTATAAGTTAGCCATATATTTTTGCCATTGTTTCCACTGTATCTGTAAACTAATGTCTCTCGGGCTTATTTTTTTCAACAGGATTATATTCTCAATCTAATGAAGCAAATTTCTGGTTGCGACTCTACAGGTGCTGAAATTTACACTCCTTAAACACTCCACTTTCCGCTCTTTTATAAATGCAAATTAGATGATCGTACCTTCTTTTTTCTCCATTACTTAGCCAACCGTCCATTTGAGGGAGCATGCATGCCAACCAATTTGGCGGTCTCAGACAAATCTTTGGTAAGTCATATAGAGCTCTATCAGTATAAGTATGCCAATATAGTCTCCAAAAATATGTCTCGTACCATAAAAAGTTGCGAACCTGCAGTTTATGAATTGAAATATGTGGTTTTGCATACATCTATGAGATCTTTAGTTAGGATAGAAGGTTGAAGAGTTTATTTTAATCCTTGACAACTTAAGGGAACTTTACAACAAAAACGGAAGCATGGAACTACATGATTTATTGGAAGGCGAGAATTCTCATTTTTCTCTTTGGCATTGGTTTGCTGTAAATCATTATTATGCTATCATACATTCAACCTTATCTTACATAATTTATAATTCCATCATCGAACTACATGATTTTTATCTTCGCATGAATGATCCTGAATTTAGAACTTCATCTTGCACAATTTATTTGGAAAACATATTTCTTGAATTACAGTTGGAAGTAGCTCATGATAGGGAGAAGGAGTTGCTTCATGAAATATCGGAGTTGCAGTGGAGGTATTCAGATGTCATGTGCATTCGATTCTCTTTCTGCTTCTTAATTTTACCATCTCAAAACATAGAAACTTGTCTAAACTCTGCTTTGCTTGCTATATGTAGGCTCATTTGTGCTCAAGAAGAACTGCAAAAATATAAAACAGATAACGCTCAGGTTAGTTTCTGAAATACTTTGCTCGTCTGTTGCACTCTTTTTAATTCTTACTCCGGTTTCAACTTCAGCTGCACATTTCTTAACCTTAAAAGTTCAGGTGTAAATTTATTTCAAACCGGAGCATTGACGGAGGCAATGTGATCTCTTAAACCGTACAATTCTAGCAAAAGCTAAAACTGGAAAAATATTAGAAACAAATATGATCAAAAGACAGGATTTGGTAGCTCGATATTCGCTTTGGTATAAACGTCACGGTTTAAAGCGGTTGAGACTAGAACCCTAAACCTGTTGGAGACTAGTTTTTAATGGTGACTATGAATCAATTAAGCTTGGAATTTATAGATTATAGGTTGATGCTTTCTTTTACCATATATAGGTTGTTTCACAGTATTTGCTGATAAGAAAATTTATTTGAAACTGCCTGATTTGTTGTACAGTACACTTTATATGTTCTTTTATATGTAAATACTAAACATAACTTTTAACTTTTATAGGAAAAAAGATGTAAACATCAAAGCAAATATCTTTTTTATTGATTTTGAGTTCAGTATGTATATGGAATAACAGAGCCAGCAAATTAAAGTTTGATGGTCTTTCATTTTCTCAAGAACCAAACATAAGTGAAGAAATCATGTGAAGGTCTACATTATATTGTGGCCGATAAATCGAGCAATGGCGGAACGTGGTGAGGGCCAGGCCCCCAAAATTGAAAAATTATGATGATTAGGCCCCTCGATAATTTGTCTCCTATTTTTTCCTTTAAAAATTCTCAAAAATTATCGTTTATATTAAATTATGAAAAATAGTTTTTTAATTGAAATATATAAATTTTGTTTTTTTTAATTTCAACGTTTTTAAATTATTTCCCAAATTATAATATTATCTCTTCATCTATTTTTATAATATTTTAAAATAATGAAAATCTTCATTTAAATGAAAATCAAATTCTTATCCCTCGTTCTAATAATTTTAAGATTATTATTTTATGTATTGGTAATGATAAAAATATTTCACAAGTAGAGCTTTAATCATATCATGTGTCTTATTTAAAGTTTAAGATTTAAGGTTTAGAGTTTAAATGTTAGATATTAAAAGTCTAAGGGGTTGTTTGTTTACTACTAAATGATTAAGCGTTGAATGATTCAATGGCTTGAATGATTCAAAGGCTCTGTATGAATTAGCTCTGAATGTGACATGTTGTTTGATAATGGTTCTGAATGATTCAGAATGTACTTTAATGTTGAATCATTCAACACTGTTTTGTTGAATCATTCAACACAGTCTTCATTAAGAGGTGAGAAACAAACACGCTGAATACTGAACGGTTCTGCATTCAACACTGAATGGTTTCATTTAACAGTAAACAAACAGCCCCTTAAGCCTTAACAGTTAATGACTGAGTGATTGATTCGTTATAAAACAATAATATTAATGATCATTTCGTTATTTTTAAAACTTCAGTGTTGAGAAAAGATATTTCCCATATTTCAATGATTATTTATATAGTTTATTATTATTATGTATGGCCAAAAAATACCAAGCAAGTCAGCCTAACATACCACGTCAATTTTATGTTATTGGGGAAACGAATGTTGATTGATTTGATAAAATGATAACATTAATTGTCATTTAATTATTTTTAAAATGCAGTGGTAAAAAAGAAATTTAGTTATACTTTAGTGACCATACATTGTAGTTTACCCAAATAATAATCGAGAAGAGAGAAAAATAGGAACATAAGAAAATCGATCTAAGAGGGTAATACCGTAATCTAAAAGAAATCTTTGGTTTCGAACCCAGAATCCATCAAAGATTTCTTCAAGTGAAGCGGAAGAAAATGTGTTGAACAATGCAATAAATGTTTCATAATGAGAGAATAGGAAGTGAAGATATAACGAGAAGGAAGCTCGAGTTCGAAGGAAGATAGTGAAACAGTATTCTGTTTTCTTTGTCTGTGGAAATTTTCTTTCACTTTCTCTAGTTCCAAACAGGTTAGAACAACTAAAAGTTTCTTTTCCTTCCTGGAATCTCACATCTCCTTTGCTTTCTGTTGCATGCAATTTCCCCATGAAATTCAAGTCTATTGTCGAAAGGTAGCATTGAACTCTGAATTCTTAAATTTGTTGATCCGCACGATAGTACTTTGCTTTCCGAGGCGATAATTTCCTTTTAGCTTCAATTTGTTGAATGAAGAGGAGGTTTTCGTGAAGTGGGCTGAGCTTGTTTTCATGGATTTTGTGGTCAAATTTATTTCTGAAGAAGTATAAAGGAGGTCTTTGTTGTTGATATGATTCGAGTTTGGTTTTCTTTTTTATTTCTTTGGGTTGTGATTTGAATTTTATTGATTGAATTTTGGAGGTACAATTTTTAAATATGTGAGCTTTGTTCTTGGGTTGCTACTTGCAAAGATGAGTTTTTTAATGGTGTTCATGGGTCTTTCTGGAATTAGTGGAACATCTTTAGTAGGGTTTTGGAAAGTGGGTTTTTGGAAATGGAGCAAAGAAACCCTAATTTAGTTGGAGTTTAGGGGGTTAAAAGAAGTGAGTGTGTCTGCATTTTTTGTTGAAATAATTAGGTAAGGGATTTTTAGCAGTGAATGATGCAACCGCCTAATCATCATTCACGGATCAATCACACTGAGTTGAAAGCTCAGTTAATAAAGAGGCTTGGGCCTGAGAGGTCGAAACAGTACTTCCACTATTTGAATAACTTGTTAAGCTTAAAGCTAAGCAAGGTTGAGTTCAATAAGGTTTGAGAGAATGTTAGACTACACAATCTCTTAATCTGTTCAATATTTAAAAATGCTTGTAATGCGAAAGTCCCTCCTCCACCTGCGACTATTCGTGACAATCTGCAAATCGGGGATGTTCTTTTGTCACCTCGGAAATCCGGAGCATCCATCAGGCTTACTGCCAAAGTGGGTTTTGCTTCTTACGAATCAACAATAACTAATGACATTGTTGTTTCTGAAATTTGGGATACGACTTCTCGTGATATACAGAAGCTGGTGCAGCATCATCAAGAAACTTTGGGCAAAGCAGATAATGGAAGGGATGTTCTGCTTCCCAACCATGAGCTAAAGGGATCAGTAAATGATTTTCCTTCTGAAGATGGCACAGACCAAAGTGAAGTTTTGTTTGTTAAAGATGGAAAGGAGTCATGTGCTAGAAGTTCATTGCAAGCACCACTCGGAGTTCCATTATTCTCTATGAGTATCTCTGGGACCCGAAGGGCTTTGCCTTTGGCAAGTAGTACTAGATATGCCAAGTCATATGACATTGGTGGATTGCTCAAATCTGAGGCACTGAGGGAGCGCATGCAACAAATCGCTTCATTGGAGGGCCTTGAAGATGTGTCCATGGACTGCGCTAATATACTGAACAACGGACTGGATGTCTACTTAAAGAGGTTAATTAGGATGACCATTGAGCTAGTAGGAACCAGGCATGAATGCAGTTTGAGAAAAAGCAATACAACGAACATTATTCCCGTGGGAATCTTGTTAACAGTGTCGCACCAAGTCACAAAATAACAGTCGGAATTTGGAAGCTATAGATGAACAGAGATACTACAAGTTGGTTTCTTTGCTGGATTTCAAGGTTGCGATGGAATTGAACATGCAGAGGCTTGGAGGAGACTGGCCAGTACTTCTTGAGAAGATATACATGCAGCGATCCGAGGAATAACATTTTAGAACCTGTGGAGTATTTTATTTGGTAACTTATGTCCAAGTTTCCCAAAAGCAAAAATAAATTTTCTTGGGCATCAATGATGCACATTGCATTCTCTTATCTGGCCCTTTTGATCAGGGTATTGCATTTAGGATAAAACTATGCCCCTTAAAAGTTGAACTGAAAAATATCCATAACACGATATTTGGTGGCTAGTTGTCAACTAACCAAAAGGTACGAGGAGAAAAGCAAACCCATAATTGGTTTCCCTGTTTGTACCTTTAGCATTATTTGGTTCACTTAGGAATTTCTTTTTCCTGTAATTTAAAGCCTATGAGGGAAGATTTTATTGCAGTTTTGCCGGAATAAAATGTTAGCTCAGTAGGCAGACAAAACTGCATGATGTAAAGTTCCAATGTATGCACTTTCAACACTTCAGTCCAGTTGGAAACTTAATAAGTTATGCTCAGTTGACCATTTTTGCTATTTATACTTGGCTCCGAAACATTTCGATGAACTATTGTCATCGTTAAACTTTGATTAGGAATTTGGTGTATGTTCTCTGATATGACCTCACATTTCTTTGATGTGTGTTCATTTTACATCATAATAATACTCTAATTTTTATGTTCCCTGGCTCATTGACTGAAAAATAGAAATCTTCATAAGATGATTTCCTCCTGTTTCCCTAGTGCAGCTTAGATAAAATGTTCCCCACAAATATATATATTCTTTATTCTCATTTTAGAATATTTCTGCTTTTCTTCTGCTCTGTATAAATGCTCCATTGCAGGAGCATAAATACTAAAAAAAAATAGAAAGAAGAAGAAATCTGTGGGACCAAAAAGGTTTAATTGAGAAAATACATAAGAATAAAGTTTCTTAATGCGTGTGTATGGGAAACCATCTTTCTTCTGGTATTAGTCTTATCTTAAATTGTTTGTGATGGTTTTATTGGTCGTTATAATTTTATTGAGTCAAGTAATTGCATCCATTATGTTGCTGTTGTTAAGTTTTATCAAATGCCATCAACAACATTTATTAACCTTTTTTTGTAAAGATGAAACTATTTCTGCATAGGTCTACGAAAACAAAATCATTTGCAGTTGCCATATCGCTCTTGCTCCTCCTCGGTGGAATTTTAGCTATCAGTTTCTTTATACACCACTGATGAAACCCAAAAAAAATAATATATGTTGAAAAAGTAAGACGTGAATGTCTGAGTTGGAGATATGAACACATCATGATTGTTATTTATTATATTATATAATAGGAAGCATCCCACTGATGTGAAGTATGCGTGCATGTCGCTGTTGAAGGAGAATAGGAACACATTATGATTGTTATTTATTAGTATAATATATAATAGCAAGGGTGTGAAGTTAGGCATGATTTGACGAGAAAGAAGAAGTGTGGGTAGAAGAAGACCAAACCAACACTTTCCGGAATGTAGGACGATGCTTGCGCTTGAGATTTTTGTTAGCAGCCATAAACTCTGATTCCGATCTCCGCAGCATTTCCCACATCACCTGCACATCTTCGTACCCACAAGTTTGTACATCATCGTGAAGTTTCAACAGCCCTGCTCCTGCTTCATTCATTTTTCCCAATTAAATAAAGAGTTATTGTTGTTGAGTAAATGATCGAAAATAAACTAGTGCTTTTCGTCCCATCTCAGCCCAACTTTCCGAAAGAAAGAAAAAAGAAGATGCGTTGTTACTTTACTCAATAATAAATATCTTTAATCAAATTTACTTAATTATTGATTTAACATGTGGCGGCATTTTATTTGTCATTGAAGGAATGGTTATTATGATCTTTAATCTTATCTTTCTCATTAAGTTACTTCAAAACCAAGATTTTGATATTGATATGTGGCTAATAACTAATACATGGATATATCTAATAATAATAGATGGGACTCATGGGTGATGAGACCCATTATTATTTAGTAAAGAAAGGCTTTTTATTTTTGTTGTAAAATTTTGAATTCACTCTTTAAACTTTAAATGAAAAAAAATGCATTTATCGTTGAATCCAATATTGAATTACATAAATAATTAATGTTCGAATATAAATAAGCAATTCATTTCAATTATTAATGTGCAACTTTATCTGTGTGGCTAATGAACACATGGTGATAGCATTTATTTAAATTTTAAAAATCGTTTATGTATATATATATATGCATACTGGTAAGTAGTATCATATGGTCCACTCATAACATTATTTTTACAAAACAATAATGAGTCATATAACTATATTATATATATTTAATTTTAAATCGATTTTCATAAGCATAATTAATTTCCAATATCATACCTACTAAGAATCTACCATATTATAAAATTAGTGAATGATGGAAAAGAAAAATTAAAACTTTCAAAACTAAACACATAAATTCAATAAGAAAATCACAGAATCGTCTAGTAATTATTTAGTTCTTTTTTAAATAATTATTAGTTAAATTTATGTAAACAATAAGAAAAAGAAGCCTCTTCATGCAAACGCAAAAACGAAAAAGAATGGTTTTCTCCTCCCTTTGTTTGTTCAACTTAAATTCTGTTTTTTCTTCCTCCATTGAAATTTCATCACTTTTTATAACAATTGGTAAATTTGAAAATAAAACTAAAACTCAATGAATCATACTTTAGCCTTTTAGGTGACAAATCCGATCTATTTCACTATAAAATTTTTGAATCGATTCCAGTTTAAGCACAAAGAATATATGTTAATAAAATGGTTAAACCCGACCCGTATTTGATTCAGTCATTCGCACCGTATTTGATTAGAAGACTAAAAGCTTATGGGAAACTAAGAGCATTAACTGAGAAAGACAATGAAAAAGAAAGGAAGCAAAAGAAGAAGAAGAAGATAAAACTCCAAAGAAAGACTAAAAGCTTATGGGAAACTAAGAGCATTAACTGAGAAAGACAATGAAAAAGAAAGGAAACAAACGCACCGCTTTTGCGAGCTTTAACACGTGAAGAAACAGCAAACCAAAGTCGTCGAACAGGGAAGATCACCTTAAGCCACCAATCCATAGAATTTTTCTAATTTCCTTCACTTTAATCTTCGTCTTTCTTTCTCCTCCTCCTTCAACGATTCTTCTGTTATTCCGGCCACCGCCAGACCTGCTGAGATCTCCTCCCTCTCCCTCTCCCTGATCTATATCATTGAAAACGAAGAAATTAAGAGAAAAGAACTAGAAGCATCGGCATATGTATGCTTTGCGCAGATGAGGAAGTGGGAAGGCAGCTTGGTTTTGGCTTAATAAACTTAGGTAGTGTCGGTTGTAATTTCCTCCACCATAACCATATTTAATTGTTACAAGCCTAATTTAAATGGCAGTTTATAAGAAGTTCGGGCTCTTCTTTTCTGCTTTTGTGTATACACAATTCCACCGACACGTGACTAAAACATTTTGCAGATGAGATATTATTCTTTCATTTATAAAAGAATATTGCAATAATAAAAATTTGCGTCGGCCATATAAATAATATGATTAAATTTCTAGCATCTTTTTCCCATCCCGATTATACAATATATCAATAAGGGTTAATGAGTAAACTCACCACTATACTTTAATTAAATTTCTTACTGTACTTTATTTTGATTGATATTTGTTATTGTAACTTAAAGATAAATCTACCACTATACTTAATATTGAAAATTTCCATTTACTTTTACTTTTATTGGATTTCGTCACTAAAATTCTTATTTTATTTGGTTTTATCAAAATGTGATTTATTTTTTATATTTAATGTATTGTTTTTATAGAATTAAAAGTTATTAATGTTTTATCGACTATTTATTAATATAATAAGATAAAACTGTTAAAAGTCATCATGGGCGGCTAATCTTCTAGATGTCAGCCAACTACTTTGATTTAATTCAAAGATGGTTGCATTTTGTTGAAAAAAAAGGGATAATTACAACATTTTAATCATTAAACTTTAGAGTATTTACAAGATTAAGTCCTTAAGATTTAGCTATAAATACCCTATCCCATTTAGCTTTAAAATCATCCCAAAGCATTCTAGCTTTCTTCCAATACTATAGAGAATTTAGAGAGTTTCTTGAGAGTTGTTTTCTCCTTTTTATTAAGAGAGAATTATCATTGTTTTCTCCTTGGTAGATTGAGAGAGGTTGTAATTCCTATTTTCTTATAGTGAAATTCTTCTACTGTTGCCTGTGGTTTTTTACCCTTTATTATTTAGGGGTTTTCCACGTAAATTTTGTGTCTTCTTTATCTTCATTTTTATTTTCTCAAATTATCAATTGCGATTTTGCTCTATCCGATAGCCGTCTTCCGCAATAATTGGTATCAGAGCTAGATTAGAGTGTGTAATATCTGCTTATTGTCTTTGTGGTTGCCACCAAAAGGTAGATCCTCTAACATAAGAAAGTAAGAAGGTATTATCCATTCTTTGAAGGTTCCAGAGAACTATTCACGATAGTGAAATAGTGGGAGCTATCCGTAATAGAAGCTATGGCAACGAAATTTGATATTGAAAAATTTAATAGGAGAAATTTCCCATTGTGGAAATTGAAGATGAAGGCCATCCTGAGGAAAGAAGGATGTCTAGCAGCTATCAGTGAAAGGCCAGTAAATTTTACAGATGACAACAAATTGATCGAAATGGACAGGAATGCTATGGCAAACTTTCATCTAGCATTAGTAGATGAAGTATTGTCAAGCATCGAGGAGAAGAAGACAGCTAAGGAGATATGGGATCATCTCACCAAATTGTACGAGGCCACATCGTTGCACAATAAAATTTTCCTTAAGAGGAAATTGTACACTCTCCGTATGCCAGAATCTACTTCAGTGATAGAGCACTTAAATACGCTAAACACTTTATTTTCTCAGCTTACATCCTTAAGCTGTAAAATAGGAGAACAAAAACGTGCTGAACTTCTACTTCAAAGTCTACCGGATTCGTATGATCAACTCATCATCAACTTGACAAACAATAATGTCACCAGTCTAGTCTTCGATGACGTTGCATATGCTATTCTACAAGAAGAAAATCGGCGCAAGAACAAGGAAGACAGACAAGTAAATCTGCAACAAGCAGAAGCATTGACAATGATGACAACGATGAGAGGGAGATCAACAGAACGTGGCCAAAGCAGCAGTCACAAACATGGTAGATCGAAGTCGAGAAGCAAAAAGAATTTAAAGTGTTACAATTGTGGAAAGAATGGTCACTTGAAGAAGGATTGTTGTAGTCTAAATAAAAACTCCAATCCACAAGGCAATACCACAAACACTTCAGATGATGGAGATGCTCTATGCTGTGAAGCGTCAACCACCGTGGAATGTAAAAAAAGATTTGCAGATATATGGCTCATTGATTCGGGAGCAACATATCACATGACCTCAAGAAGAGAATGGTTCCATCATTATGAACCTGTCTCAGGAGGATCTGTGTATAGTTGCAATGATCATGCCTTAGAGATCATTGGTGTGGGAACCATCAAATTAAAGATGTATGATGAAACAATTAAAGTTGTTCGAGATGTGCAGCACGTGAAAGGCCTGAAGAAAAATTTATTATCCTACGGATTGTTAGATAATAATACAAGCAAGATTGAAACACGGAAATGAATCATGAAGGTGTTTCGTGGAGCGCTTGTGGTGCTGAAAGGCGAAAAAATAGCTGCAAACTTGTACATGCTGAAGGGAGAGACTTTGGTAGAAGCAGAAGCCTCTGTTGCCTCATGTAGTTCAGATTTGGCAATGCTATGGCATCAGAAACTTGGACACATGTCAGAACAAGGAATGAAAGTTCTTGTGGAGCAAAAGCTACTTCCAGGCTTAACAAAGGTATCACTTACTTTGTGTGAGCATTGCATAACAAGTAAGCAGCACCGGTTGAAATTCAACACGTCAAATTCTAGAGGCAAAAATGTTCTAGAATTAGTTCATTCTGATGTATAGAAAGCACCGGTTACATCCCTAGGTGGAGCAAAATACTTTGTCTCATTTATTGATGACTACTCTAGGAGATGTTGGGTGTAACCTATTAAGCAGAAGTCAGATGAGTTTTCAACTTTCAAAATCTTCAAAGCGCGGGTGGAACTTGATTCTGAAAATAAGATCAAGTGTTTCAGAACAGATAATGGAGGAGAATACACAAGCGAAGAATTTGATGACTTTTGCAGGAGAGAAGGCATCAAAAGACAGTTCACAGTGGCAAACACTCCTCAACAAAATAGAGTGGCAGAGCGGATGAACAGAACCTTGCTAGAAAGAACAAGAGCAATGTTGAGGGACACAGGCCTGGAAAAAATCATTCTGGGCAGAAGCAGTCAATACCGCCTGTTATTTGGTGAATCGAGCTCCATCAACTGCAATAGAGCTGAAGACACCAATGGAGATGTGGACTGGTAAACCAGCTGATTATTCAAACCTCCATATATTTGAAAGTATTGTGTACGTGATGTACAACTCCCAAGAAATCTCAAAGCTGGATCCAAAATCCAGGAAATGCAAATTCTTGGGGTATGTTGATGGAGTCAAGGGGTATCGCTTGTGGGATCCCACTGCCCGCAAAGTGATCATCAGCAGGGATGTTATCTTTGTAGAGGATAAACTACAAAGAAAAGAAGACGATGATAGCACTGAAAAGTCAGAGACTACACAGATAAATGTGGAAAAAGAGTTTGAACAAGGAGATTCTTCTGAAGCAGAACCAACACATGATGAACAAGAACCAGAGAGTTCTGAAGCACCAACAACTCGTCAATCAGATCGCGTGATAAGACGTCCCAATTGGCACTCAGATTATGTTATAGAAGGTAATATTGCATACTGCCTTTTAACAGAGGACGATGAGCCATCAACATACCAAGAGACAATAAACAACTCAGATGCTTTATTGTGGATGATGGCGATGCAAGAAGAAATTGAAGCCCTTCATAAAAATAATACATGGGATCTTGTGCCACTACCACAAGGAAGGAAGCCAATTGGTAACAAATGGGTCTTCAAAATCAAGCGAAATGGTGACGATCAAGTTGAGAGGTATCATGCAAGACTGGTGGTCAAAAGATATGCTCAAAAAGAATGTATTGATTTCAATGAAATATTTTCTCCTGTGGTTCGACTAACAACAGTTCGAGTAGTTTTGGCAATGTGTGCTACATTGGACTTACATATAGAGCAGCTAGATGTTAAAACATCTTTTCTTCATGGAAATCTTGAAGAAGAAATTTATATGCTCCAGCCTGAAGGTTTTGAAGAAAAAAAAAGAAGAACTTGGTTTGCAGGTTGAACAAATCTCTGTACGGTCTAAAGCAGACGCCGAGGTGTTGGTATAAGATATTTGATTCTTTCATTATGTGCCTTGGATACAACAGACTTAATGCAGACCCTTGTGCTTATTTCAAGAGGTCTGGTGATAACGATTTTGTTATATTGCTGTTGTATGTAGATGACATGTTGGTTGCAGGACCCAACAAAGATCATATTGAAGAATTGAAGGCACAACTGGCTAGGGAATTTGAAATGAAGGACTTGGGATCAGCAAACAAGATTCTAGGGATGCAAATTCACCGAGACCGAAGTAATAGGAAGATTTGGCTTTCACAAAAGAATTACTTGAAGAAGATCTTGTCACGATTCAGTATGCAAGATTGTAAGCCAATTTATACCCCTCTTTCTATTAACTTCAAATTATCCTCCAGTATGAGTCCTAGCAGTGAAGAAGATAGGATGGAGATGTCTCGAGTACCGTATGCATCAGCAATGGGAAGTTTAATGTTCGCTATGATATGCACAAGACCAGACATTGCACAAGCAGTGGGAGTGGTTAATCGGTACATGGCGAATCCAGGCAAAGAGCATTGGAATATTGTAAAGAGGATCCTCAGATACATCAAAGGGACCTCAAATATTGCATTATGTTATGGAGGATCAAACTTACTAATCAATGGTTATGTAGATTATGACTATGCAGGGGATTTGGATAAAAGCAAATCTACTACAGGATATGTGTTTAAAATTGCTGGTGGAGCTGTAAGCTGGGTTTCAAAATTGTAGTCAGTTGTGGCTACGTCCACAACAGAGGCAGAATATGTAGCAGCTACACAAGCCAGTAAAGAAGCAATTTGGTTGAAGATGCTATTGGAGGAGCTTGGGCACAATCAAGAGTATGTCTCTCTGTTTTGTGACAGTCAAAGTGCCTTGCATCTAGCAAGGAATCCAACATTTCATTCAAGGACAAAACACATACGAGTTCAATATCATTTCATTCGTGAAAAGGTGGAAGAAGGGACGGTAGATATGCAGAAGATCTATACCAAAGACAACATAGCAGATTTCATGACAAAGGCGATCAACACTGATAAATTTACATGGTGTCGATCCTCTTGAGGCCTGTCAGAAACGT